ACTGGGGGACAAACCAGAGACAAGGTTGCTGGTTGAATTACCTGTGGCTGTCCACCTCAGTTCCATCCACAGCAGACTGAAGCTCTCTGGGTTGGGTCTTCTCCTCCTGCTCCTCCTGCTCCTCCTGCTCCTGCTCCTCCTCCTCTTCCTCCATTCTCGGCTCCCTCTGGACGGAGCCGAGCCGCTGGGACAGCTGGGTAATGAAGTCCTTGTTGGAGGAGGACAGGAGCAGCAGGTCAGCAGGAAGCAGCGGACACCAGGTGGCGCTGCAGGAAGAACACCTGGCCTCAGCTGGTCTGGAGGAGGAAGAGGAGCAGGAGCACATACAGCTGCAGGACAGAAACAGAAGAATTCAATCTACTGTTCAACCAATTGGACACATCTATCTGTAATATCCTTTTAGGTCTCTTTTGTGTTTCTGCCAGAGATCAATAAAGCTTCAATAAACACACGGCAACAGAAACGAGGAGGTGAAGCAGTGAAGTGATTCTGTGAACACCAGCGCCCTCAGCAGGACACACTGAGAACTACAGCTGCTGCAGATTTGGTTGATTTTATAGAAAGTGATCTTATTTTAGATTCACAAACGTTTGACTTTGAAAGGCAACGATGAACACGCCTTGAAGACAGCAGTGGGTTCATGTTTGTGTTGCTGTGAAGGCTGTGGCTTCATACTGACCAGACAGGGACGTTAGCAGCAGGAACATCTGAGGAGGCTCCACAGTGTTCAGACGGACGGACCTGCAGACAAACAGCAGCGTTAGAACAGAATCCTGGTTAACCGTCATCCGGAGTCTCGGTTCTACCCTCTGTCGTGTTAATTTGTTTGTATTCTGACACCGAGGGGGCAGATGTGCAGGAAACTTCACACGTTTCCCTTTTGCATCAGTGTTGAACAATACTATGAACCCTGAAACCAGCTGGCAGGTTTACAAGGAGAGTCATCTCTGCAAAGAAATGCCCAAAACTGAAAACAGTGAGAGTCAGCAGATTGTCAGCTTTCTATATCTCATCAAAATCACATTATTCTGCACGTCTCGGTTTAAAAAGAGCCAGAAATAAACGTTTTGGTCAAATTAGATTTCACTAACATTCTGAGCTCCTCAACAAGTCAGTGACTCGGCTGGAGCCAAGAATTAGTTTCCAGCTGAACTGCAGGCAGAGAGGAGACACGCATTAAAACTAACTAACAAACTAAACTAACCAAGCTGTAAACAGTGAGATGTCTGCTATGAGCAGCCTCCATGCTTCCAGCTGTGGACAGGATGGGTTATAGTGTAAACCAGTGTCAACTAAGTGTAAACCAGTGTCAACTAAGTGTAAACTAAGTGTAAAACAGTGTCAACTAAGTATAAACCAGCGTCAACTAAGTGTAAACTAAGTGTAAAACAGTGTCAACTAAGTGTAAACCAGCGTCAACTAAGTGTAAACTAAGTGTAAAACAGTGTAAACTAAGTGTAAACCAGCGTCAACTAAGTGTAAACCAGCGTCAACTAATTGTAAACCAGTGTAAAACAGTATAAACCACTGTAAACTAAGTGTAAAACATTGTAAACCAGTACGTCACCAGTATGAGGAGCCTCCATGCTTCCAGCTGTGGACAGGACGACTCCAGGTTTTTACATTTTTATTAAATAGCGTGGTGATTTAAAAACCACAGAAAACAACCAAACGTTAAACCTGTTTTCGCCAGTTTTTATCCCAGACAAAACATCCTGACTGGTCCAAATAATTGCTGTCATTTTTAACCATTTCTACAGTTGAAGCTATCTTCCTATCTGGAAATTTCTCCGTCTGACTGATGCTGTACTGGTTGTCATGGTAACAGCCCCCTTCCCCCACTACAGGTGCTGCAGGTGTGTGTCACCTGGGCGGAGGCAGCAGACAGGTGGGGTGTGTTGGGGTTAAAGCTTGCAGGAGGGGTTGTAGCGTCCGCAGGGGGGAGAACAGTGGGGGGGGTGGCGGCTTCTTCTCTGCTGGTCATTTCTGCAACAGGAAACACACCTGAGGTCACATCACCTGATCACATGTCTGATTCTAGCTATAGGTGAGTTTAATGTAGGAACTGAAAGGACGTGTGATGACTAAGCGGCGACAACATGAAGGGCGTCAGGCAGCCTGAAGCAGGAACAGCATCTACAGCAGAACACAATCTGGTTCAGAGACGAGAAACAGGAGCTACAGGAGTGAAAGCAGCAGCTCAGTTCAATCAGCCTCGTGCACATGTAGGTTGTTTTTAATCCACTGCAGCATTTAAGGTTGAGTTGGTGTTTCCAGGTTCTCTTATAGTTGCTGTTCTGAGGAACACTGATGAAGGGAAATCTGAAAGTGCTGCATTGTACCAACCAGAGCCTCACATGACCACAGTGGAAAGAAACACATGTGAAGGCAGCTTTCAATTGAAATCCACCAGACTGATCAAAGAAAATTCTGTTAAAACAGCAAAGACAGAACAAGAGAGAGTAAACTAAACCACGTTGACTGAAGGCAGCAGCCGGACAGATGAGATGCTTTCCTGCTTCTACGTTCCTGTTCCAACACACAGAGTCTTGTTGGTGTAAACGTTCTGCTGTTTCTACATCTTCACTGCATGTTAGTGTCGCGTGTGTTCAGCCGAATGCCTGATCGATTTGTCCTGAGGGAGGTTAATCTAACCTGAGTGTCTGTCAGCTGAACAAATAGCACGCAAATGTTCTGTTCCACAAATCTCATTTCAATTGTTCCAGTTGGAAAAGAGTAAAATTGATCCAACTCTGAACAGTTTAGTCTAAAAAGGGCTGGAAATCAGTCCAAAACCAGCCAAAACTACCCTAAAACCTGTTTAAAACTAGCCAGAAACTAGTCAAAACTACCCTAAAACCAACCCAGAATCAGTTTAGAGAAGTCCAAAACCAGTCCACAACTGGTGGAAACCAGGCTGAATACAGTCAAAACCAGTCTAAAGACAGTGCAAACCAGTCTAAAAACAGCGTAAACTAGTGTAAACCAATCTAAATGCAGCGTAAACCAGTCTAAATACAGTCAAAACCAGTCCAAATACAGTGTAAACTAAGTGTAAACCAGTGTAAAACCAGTCTAAGTACAGCGTAAACCAGTCTGAATACAGTCAAAACCAGTCTAAAGACAGTGCAAACCAGTCTGAAAACAGCGTAAACTAGTGTAAACCAATCTAAATGCAGCGTAAACCAGTCTAAATACAGTCAAAGCCAGTCCAAATACAGTGTAAAACAGTGTAAACTAAGTGTAAACCAGTGTAAAATCAAACTAAATGCAATGTAAACCAGTCTGAATACAGTGTAAACCAGTCTAAATATGGTTTAAACCAGTGTAACACAGTGTAAACCAGTCTAAATACAGTGTAAACCAGTGTAAACTAAGTGTAAACCAGTCTAAATACAGTGTAAACTGAGTGTAAACCAGTGTAAAACAGTGTAAACTAAGTGTGAACCAGTGTAAAACCAAACTAAGCAGAGTTATTTCAGTCAATATTAACAAGACCTTAAAGTTGTGAGTGACTCTGGTTGTGTGCTGACGTCTGCTTCGTTGTAGATTCTGTGTGTTGGAACAACAAACGCCTGGATGGAGAGGACTTAATCTCAACCACAGCGTTTATATCTGCGCTCAGCGTAGGCTGGTGCTGTTACAACGGTTAATCCTGATTACACCGACTGTTCTAGTGCCCGGCTGCTGCCTCCTGCTGAATCCAACAGAACCTCCTCACAGCCCGATACATACATGATTACCTTGGCTGGAAGCCTGCTGGGCCGGACAGGAGGAGGAGGAGGAGGAGGCAGGAGGAGCAGAGGAGGACAGAGAGGAAGAGGAGGAGCAGAGCAGAGCAGGAGGTCTGGTGTCCTCACTGATCTGACGAGAAGACAGAGAGGACATCAGAGATCTTCAGAGGTCATCTACAACATCTACATCAGAGATCATCAGAGGTCACCAGGAATCACCAGATATCATCAGAGATCAATAGAGATCACCAGAGATCAATAGAGATCATCAGAGATCAATAGAGATCATCAGAGATCAATAGAGATCACCAGAGATCAATAGAGATCATCAGAGATCAATAGAGATCATCTACAACATCTACATCAGAGATCATTACAGAGAACCAGAGGTTCCATCTACAACTAAGAACACTAATTAATGACTAATTGAACAATAAACACTCATAGAACCCTAAAAGAACCCTAACAAAACACTAATAGAACACGAACACAACACTAACAGAACCCTAAAGGAACCCAAACAGAACCCTAATAGAACACGAACACAACACTAACAGAACCCTAACAGAACCTTTCCGATGGCCCACTTACCTTCTTGTCTCCGCTGCTCATCCGGTCTTTGACTTCTTTGGCTTTCTGAATAGCTTTCAACACCTCCACCGTGTCCAGCTCCTTCTCCGTGGTCACCTTACTGTCCAGACACACCTGACCACAACAGACACAACACAGACACACAACAGATACAGACACACAAACTCAGCTGTGAGCGGTACTGACAGCAGAGTGTAAAGTAAACACAGCAGTAGATGCTCTGCGGTGCTGCTACACATTAGTGATGGTGATACTGGGGAGGTTCTGGTGGTACCTCAGCTGCTCGGTCTCCAAACTGGGCCAGGACCTTGGTTCTGTAGTCTGGGATGATGCACATGGGGTTACTGGACAGGCTGAGCTTCTCCAGACAGGGCAGAGAGCCGATGTTCCTGATCTCCTCCAGCTGGACAGAGAACACAGCCGGGTCAGAACAACAGAACATCTGGACTGTTTACAGGAGCTGCAGCAGATGTTCTTCAGAAGGGGGTCTGATGTTGTTTCTTGGGGAAACTAGAATTCACTCCTTTTTCACTTGTTTTGTTGCTTTTAATTGAAATACGTAAATGACGTGTAAAAAGGCTGAGACTGTGGCTTTAGAACCTTCAGGACCATTAGAACCCAATCAGAGTCTTCAGGCCCTCCTGGGTGTGGATACCTGGGCCAGCTGGTTGTGGCTGAGGTCCAGGTTGACCAGGGAGTAGAGTTTGGTGAGTCCACTGAGGTTCTGCAGCTGGTTTCCGGCCAAGTTCAGGGTTTTGATGTTCCCCAGACGGGTGTGAGCAGCTTCCAGAACCTGCAGGTTGTTGTAGGACAGGTCCACATGGACCAGGTTGTACAGGTGCTGCAAAAACACACAGGTAGGTCAGTGCTGCTCAGTGAAGCCTTTGAAAAACTGAAGCTTAAATGGGACATTCTGAGGCTGACTGATGAGAGACTTTAGTTCATGAAACTTCAGAAGTCAAGACCTTATCAACTGCTGAGCCACTGTTGTTGGGTTAGAACTGTAATGCAGCTGTCCTCTGTATGAAAACATGACACATACTAGTATTGACTAGTACTTGGAATGTTCTGACATGCTCGTACGGCACCGTGATACACATACATGTACTACAACCAGTGTAACGGTGTCAGGGAGAGGACCCGCAGGATGACATCTTTAAATGCCCACGCGTCAACAAAAACAACTCGCAACCTTTTCTGTCAAAGCTACCACACCAGAGGGCGAAAGGTCATTCAGTCTGGAGAAGTCTGGCTGTGTGGGTCAGCTGACCCTGCATGTAACCGATATGAAATCTCGCGAGAGCAGCTAACACCAAAACAATATGGCGCCTCGGCATGGAAAACGCCAGTTTCCATGTTTTTTTTCTAACGGTGTATCTACTAAAATCAGAATATGCTGGAGTCATGATAGCGTTGTTGATGATCAGACACGTTGTCTTGTGGTGCTGCTGGAATATTTTCACAGCCGAGAAGATCGTTTTCGTGAAGACTGCACGTTGTACGGCAGCATGTAAGAACATGGCCCAGTGTTACCAGGGTTCAGTCGGCAGTGTGAGGGCGCAGCGCCCCCTAACGTCATTTAGACAAACCTCTGATAAAGCATCAATCAACTTCCTGTTTTTCTGGAAGGTCTACATTAAGTCTAGTTCTGCAGTGTCAGCAACTTGACTGGTCCAAATCATGTTTACAGAGTCACAGTTCAAGTCATCAGAACGAAGAAACGTTCAGTTGATTCACTGAGAAGTCCGTCGTAGAAGATAAACAGGCAGAAGAAGGAAGTGTGACCTTCACTGAGAGTGTTCCTTCCTGCTGGCAGCAGCTGAGGATGTTGTGGATGAGCCACAGCATGACTCACTGCAGAGACGTCCAACAACCGTTCTCGTATTAACCACTGATCACACCTGTTGGACCAGAACCTTCAGTCGTCACAGCGTCACTCACCTGCAGGTTCTCCACTGACGACAGCTGGTTGGAGCTCAGATCCAGAAACTCCACCTTTGGAATCAGCCTCTGCAGCAGAGAACAATTCTGTCAGCACACCTGGACACACACCTGAACACACACTGTAACACACTGTAACACACCTGAACACACACTGTAACACACCTGAACACACACCGGAACACACACCGTAACACACACCTGAACTTACACCTGTAACACACACCTGAATAACCAGGCAGAACCAGACAGAACCCTTCACACCTACACCCTGAGACTCTCCAGGAACAACCCCAAGCCGTGTGTTCAGTTGCGTTTGTGCGTCTCACCACAGAGTTGTCGATGCAGCCGATGCGGTTGTGACTCAGGTCCAGGGTGGTCAGGTGGCGCCACACCGGGACCACGGTGGTGACCGGACACCCAGGCTCCGCCCCCTCAGGTTCCCACTGAGAGAACTCAGTCGCCTCCGGAACCAGCACCGACTGGAGGGAACAACGCAAGGCACAGGTCAACACACTGGTCAACACAACGCACAGGTCAACACAACACACAGGTCAACACAACGCACAGGTCAACACAACACACAGGTCAACACAACGCACAGGTCAACGCACAAACAACGCACAGGTCAACACAACACACAGGTCAATGCACAGGTCAACACACGGACACAAATTATTTTGTTGTGTAGCGGTGTGTACCATCATGGACTGTGTGTAGTGTTGTGTAGTGTTGTGTAGCGGTGTGTAGTGTTGTGTAGTGTTGTGTACCATCATGGACTGTGTGTAGCGTTGTGTAGCGTTGTGTAGCGGTGTGTAGTGGTGTGTAGTGGTGTGTAGCGGTGTGTAGCATCATGGACTGTGTGTAGCGTTGTGTAGGGTTGTGTAGTGGTGTGTAGCGGTGTGTAGCGGTGTGTACCATCATGGACTGTGTGTAGCGTTGTGTAGTGGTGTGTAGCGGTGTGTAGCGGTGTTTAGTGTTGTGTAGTGTTGTGTAGCGGTGTGTAGCATTGTGTAGCAGTGTGTACCATCATGGACTGTGTGCTCTGGTGGATGTTCATCGTCTCCAGACTCGTCCTGAGAGTCGACAAACCTTCGATCTGCTCAGAGCTGCACTCGCTGATCTGCACACAGACACCAGATGTGCTTTTAAAGCCAGTTTAAATAAAACAGATTGAAAGAACCGACAGAAGCCCAGAGACAGAAGAACACGAGCAGATGTTTCAGTAGAAGTCCAGAGACAGAACAAAGTGAGGAGAAAAATAAGGCCTAAAAGCACAAACATAGGTTAAAGGATAAGAACAAATGTAGAAATGTGCCTTGTGCTGGGAAGAACAAGTACACAGGTGATACATTCGGACCAAAACAGTCTGGTTCTGTCGGGTATAACTGAGACAACGTGCAGCTCTTCAGCCGACACCGACCCGGACGTCTGCTCCAGCGTTACCTCGATCTGCAGCAGCGACTTGAAGACGGACAGGTCGAAGGGAAGGCTGCTCTCCTGGATGTTGCTGGTTCCCACTGGACCTCTGGTGCCACAGATCTGAGCCAGAGAGACGAACCGGTGAGAACAGGGTCAGACAACGGGCTGCGGGCGGTTCAGGTGAGGCTCACCTTGAGGTAGCGCAGCCTGCAGGTGAAGTCCAGGATGTGTCCCAGGTCCGTCCGAGCGTCTCCGTTGCAGCAGGTGGGTTTGGCCAGTCGCAGCTGCTGGGAGACGGCGTAGAGCTGCAGAGGACGGAGAGAGAACACCTCACCGGCCTGCAGCAGCTGCTCGCCTGCAGCAAACAAACAAACAAACACATAAACAAACAAACAGAGCGGCCTGACGCTCATCCCTGTGCAAAGCTCGTCACAACAACGTACGTTTCCCTGTCAGTCGAACACTTCACTGATTCACACGTCAGCATTTACAGTCCAGATGTTGAGAATATTTACAGAACTCACAGATGTAGGTTCTGCTTCATCAGTCCAGCAGACAGACAGTTTAGGAGGAAAAACACACCTGAGTTCTGGTAGAACCTGACACCAGACCAAGTCGACATCCATCCAGGTGTCCAACACGACGAAAAAAAAAATCACCAGACTGTCACAATTGTTAAAAATAACTCACATGTTGCTGACGAGAAGCAAAATGCCTTAAAATTTGTTAAAATGACTCAGAAATAGTCCCGAATGAATAAAAGATGTTAAAATAATCAAAAGTGTGATTAAAATGACAAAGAAAAGCCAAAAAATAAGAAACAATCACATGAAGCTTATATGGAATTATTCAACATTTTCCAAAATGACAAAAAGAGTCCAGATGAGCTCAAATCTGTCCAGATGGACCCGCTGGAGGTTCTGTCTCTTTGTGTCTCATCTCGTTGTTTTGTGTTGTTTGTCTCTTTTTTTGTCTCGCTTGTTGTTTTGTCTCAGAAACCAGGTCCAGTGTTCAGACTGAGACACCTGGATGGATGTAGAACTGATCTGGTGTCAGGTTCTACCAGAGCCCAGATGTTTTCTTCCTCCTAAATGTCATGTGTCTATCTGCTGTACTGATGAAGTTCTGAGGCTCAGAAATGATGGAAAAAGTCCATTAAAGTGATCAGTCTGGACCCTCCTCTGTGGACTTCAAGGACCTGGAGCTCTGGAACATTCAGTCTGAAGGTAGAACTCTGGTCAGTAGATAAAGATACTGGAGGTACAGAACCAGATGTTCTGAGGAGGTTCTGGGGGACGTTTATTCAGATTTAGCTGGTTTTATATGGAAAGACGACGACCACTAGGATTGTATCTCCAGCGTGTTGGAACAGATTTTGACTAGCTGTTGTCTCTAAACTCTGAATGAGGCGGATCCGGTCCGAGGACACGGAGGAAGCTCACCTTTATGGAACAGCTCCTGAGCGAGAGCTGCTGTGATGCCGTTTATCTCCTGAAACACATCAAACACACAAACGTTCAGCCAAACGTCTTCTAATCTAGACTCGTTCTAACAAATGTTGTCACTCGTTAACAACAGAACAGCAACACAAATGAGGATAAAACACACTAATGACAGAACGGACACACCAACATGTGACCCCGTGGCTCAGCAGGGCAACATGTTGGCTGCTAGGCTGACCCGGCGCCGGGTCGGGCAGCAACGCGACCCCTCCACTTCTGCCGGCCACGACTGAAATGCTGCTCCAGGTCTTTCCCATCTTTCTTTCTCCAGCTGCTGCTCAGTCGCTCTTCCAATGACAACAGCAGGCGGACAGGTGTGTGGCCACACAGGTGCTGAGGCTTACAGGCCGGTAGCAGCCGCACACAGCCGGTCTCTGGTGCTCATCATCAGACCACTGGGTTCACTGCCAGGATGCTCCAACAGAACAAGTCTCCTGGGCTTCAACAAATTCTTTTGGATCTTTACTGATGATTCAACGAGATCATTTCACCAACATTTGACAAACCATCCATTATCTACACACCGCTTAATCCTCACTGGGGTCACTAGGGGCTGGAGTCTATCCCAGCTGGCTTTCACAAACCCAGTGTCCGGATTTAAGAGTGTTCTCCTGGCTGATAATCCAGCCACAAAGCTCCAGACCTGCAGACGGTGTTTTAAAGGACTTGTTTTTAAAAATGCTAAAATTACACAATTCCTCAGAAAACACGCCTTTTAAGCCACCAGCAGCTGTAAAAGCTTATCTGCTGTTCAGAAACCACGGAGAAGCGAGACAGCCTCATCGACGCTGTAAAACAGAGAACACAGAAATATCTAAAGGACGTGGAGCCTCCATGTGTCCAGCTCATTAAACTAAGGCTCCTGTGTTTTATTCTGGTCTCTCAGCATCTGGTGCTGACCTGAGACCAGCAGATAGTTTAGTTTTTTCATATAAATCCTAACAACATCACAGACGTAGACAATTTATTATAACAGCTATATTAAAGCCCTGCTTGTATCTCGACCTCCGTCTCGCTATCCGACATAAAAGCAGGTTTTACATTTAGTGTCGGATTATCGAGTCACGACTGTATCTTCCTGACCCTTGACTCCGAAGCCAAGTTTCTTATCGAGTCGTGAACTTTACTCACGTAGAGGTGGAAGTGCAGGAAGCAGGCGAGCTCGGTGGGCGTGGCCTGAGGGAACTGCAGCAGCAGCGTCTGCAGGTAAAGCTCCAGCTCCTTCTGCCGCCGCTCCACCAGACTCTTTGAGTTCTTCCCCAAGATCTTCTTCGGGGGCAGCAGCCGGCGGTCGACCTTCTTCTCCGCCGTCAGCTGCAGGAAACAAACGAAACCAGAATCTGACTCATCATCAGCCAACCACAAAGTAAAACAGCAAACACAAGCTGAGGGTCTGCAGCTTTTACACCATTTTAAAGTGGACGATGACGCCACACTGGAGATAGAAAACTGTTACAGATGATTTACTGATTATCTGAGAAACCAACTGAATCCACAAACACACTGGATACATGTTTCATCTTGATCAGGTGATCGTGTTCAACCGCTGCTCTGCTCTCTTACCTTCTCGTGGAGGTCGTGGAAATCGCTGTAGCGATGCTTCACCGTCCATCTGTGTTGCCCGTCTGTGACGTCGATGATGTAAACCTGAAACACCACAACAACACGTCAAAAGGAAGCTTAAGCTGCAAAAAGAAACCAGTTGTATGAAAACATCTAAGCTACAGAAAGAATGACGTTGACAAAAAACAGGTTGTAGGTCAGCGGCTGTTTAGACAACATGAGGCCACAAATCAGTCTGACCGTTAAACCCTCTGAACCCCAAAACCACAGTCTGTGGGTTTGTCACACAGGTTTAAATAAAAGAAACGACACCTTATATCAGAGCCACAAACAGTCCAAGCATCACATTGTTCCTACAATCCTTGAAATAATCACCTGTGACGTGTTGTTAGAAAGCTCAGCCTCAAAGTGCCGTTAGTCTACAGGTCGCGATCAAACAAACTCTGTAGTCTGTAGGATTGATTTCAGTTCATCAATAATTGTAAAAAAAAACATAAAACTTTTCTCTGGTCTCCATGGTTCTGAGTCCTGCTGTTCTGTCTCCGCCTTCATGTGGTTCTGGTTCCACAGAGCTGCAGGACTTGATGCTGAAACATGAACCTCAGTGAGGGACCAGGAGACAGGAGCTGCTGGAGTTAAATCAGCAGCACAAAGCTGTGATGTTGTTTCAGCCGTATTGACATTATTTTCTATTATTCTATTATTTTTTAGACGCTCTCCTCTAAAACCCCCTCAGTCACCCTGCAGTGGTTCTTTCCTGATGCAGTTTGTCAAGTCATCAAATGAAAGCTGTTGTTTTAATTCAAGACATGTCGCAGAAAAACTACACAGCAAAGCGTCGGTTGTTCCAGCACCGTGCAGCAGACTATCGGTTAAACAGCTACGGATCCACGGAACACACACTGATAAATATGAGTCCGAAAACCCTTTCAACGGGCAGCTCAGCTAGCTGTTAGCTGTTAGCCTGTTAGCTCCCCTTCCGGTTCTTCTCGCAGGCTCCAGAGGATCACCACACCACCTGCTGCAGTATCGTTCAAATAAAGTTCACGAACTCAACAGCAAACACGTCCACCGTTTAACAAATTCCTACGGTGCTGTCACTGCCTCAGACCTGAAGCTAAGCTGGCTATCAGCTAGCTACCAGCTAAGCTAACGGCGGGTGGAAAGCTGCCGGATCTCACCGTGTAGTTTTCCACCAGCTCCGAGCCGACGACACACACTTTCCTCTCGGACAGCTCCTCTGAAAACGGCGCAGAATCCATCCCGAGGCCGAAAATTACCTTTTAAAGAGTAAAAACCTGTAAATCAGACGGTTTCATAGGATGTCCGGCGTTTGTTCTCCGTCAGCCGCCAACCGCCGCCATGTTTGTTGTGATGTGAAGCAGCTGACTGATCAAAAAACTTTATTTAAACCGCTTTACTGACAGCTTTGTTTTTTACTTTATTGAAAGCAACAAAAGGCCAACGTATTTAAAATACACAAATATTCCATAAAATCAGTTTATTTAGTTATTATAGTCATTTATATATTTATGTTAAACGCTTGTCAAACATCACTGCACGTACAGAGTCCCATTTAAGTCGATATTAAATCAAAAACATAGATGCAGCCAAACATTAATATTTCTACGAAATCAAATAAAGTGGTCCTTTGAAAACTAAACACCTATTTATTTAATCATTACATTATTTACACTTTTTCCAGGTTTCGTTTCACAGCTGTATTTAATTACTACGTGGCAATAATTATTGATTTATTTAATAATCAACAGATTAACACTTGTTTGTTAAACCAAAGATATCTTGCACGATTACAGACGTTTTCAAAACAACAAAAAGGTTTATTAAATGTGTTTTTGTTAGGATATGCTATCTTTAAATACTATCAATCTGTCAGAATACTTCATCACGATATATTATGTGTGTATATGTGTGTATTTTTTCTGCTAAGATGTGTAAATTCTTGTGTACATTTTTTATCTTATTTTATTTTTATTATTGTTATTTATTTTTTATTCTACTTTTTATTTTTTTTCTTTCTATGGTTATTTTACTTGATTTTTTTATGTTCCTATTGCTCATTTCCAGGGCGACACCAACAGCCGAATGTTGTGTGTTGTGTACGTACTGGGCCATTAAAGCTGGTTCTGATGTATTATATTATAATGCATATTATTTATGATAACATATATTTATGTATCTGATGCTAAATAAACACACAAAATATAACAACAACCACAGTATCTTTATTGTTGGTATTATTATTATTATTATTATTGTTGTTATTATTGCATAGTTTTCACACGTGTAAAAATCCTCCATTAAGCATTTTAAAGCCAAAACACACACGTGCTGTCATGTAAAGTTAAGGCCAAACATGTTTGTACAGCTGTGGAAAGTCATTTATTGTCTTTCTAACAGTCTATTACTGGTCAGACTGCACTGAGCACATGCGACGGGAGCTGAACCAGGTTTGCGTGCAGCTGTGATGAGTGTCGTGTTTGGCCTGCTGGTGGCGCTACACGCTCAGTTCTGAACACAAAGGAGCGGAAGGACACAAACACAGCGGCAGCAGGTCCAGATTCCAGCCTGAAGGGGGCAGCAGACAGAACGGAACCAGGACGGAGAGAAAAACATGTCTGAGCAGGACTCAGAGGGCTCGGTCAGTGGGCCTAATGTGCACGACACACACACACACACACACACACACACACACACA